AACTACCCGTTTCAATGTCCCCTGGCTCGGGAGGCTGCTGCTCCTCCCCATTCCCACCTCCAACTATCTGTTTCCCATGGAGTCTCCAGAGCTTGGACCACAGCTGGGTTTGAACCATTTCAAAAACAGCCTCAGCTTTGGAATCTGAGTTGTCTGTCCTGCCAGGATGTGTAGCTTCCCACACCCGCACCTGAGATCTGACAGGGCACGCACATGCAACAATTACAGCTTCAAAATGGGTTTTCCTAATACCTCTGCAGAAAGAGCTAAATTTCTGAATAGAGTGATCATCCATTGCCCGTTTAGGTTTCCTAGTTCTTCTTCCAAACATCACAGTCTCCATTTTTTAATGCTAAGATATTCCTTATTGCAAAATCGGAGCTGGACTTAACTTACAGTTTTCTCAGGCCAATCTGATCAGTCCCAAACAGCAAAACTAAATCGAATGCATGTATTAGAACTGGAACTTAATCTGTGTCCAGGCACAGGGCTATGGAGGTAGATGAAGCCATCTCTTGTACTATATTTGATTAAAACACTGAATAAGAAAGGGCCAAGATAACAACCTTATCTGACCGCTACAGCCGATACTAATGTCCTCTGTCAGACGTCCATGGAAGACCCACACGTACCTGCATAACATTATTTTGATGGAGCTTTTGAATTAACCACAGCAATCTTTTGTCAATATTTGTACCAGAAAGTGTTCCCAGTGGACAAGGCCTATTTACTGAGACAAAAGCTGAGGTCAGATCTATAAATGCTGCAAACAATTTCTTAGTGGTTGGATGTTTGTTTTTTATTTGACAGTGAAGGACAAAGAACGGGTCTATCATGCTTCATCCTTTACAAAAGTCTGCCTGCTCCTCACCAGCAATGCTACTAGCTTCCACCCAGGTTTTTAGTTAAGGCAAAAAAGGGAGCAAAGCTTAGAAAGGGCACATTCAACAGGCTTATCAGTCTTCGATTTTAGGGTCTTGATGATTCCCCTTTTTTAAAAAAACTGGAAGAACTACACTAGAGGACTGTCAATGATGGAAGTTGTGTTCTCCTTAACTTCAGTGATCTGGCTTCTTTGTAGATCTTCTGCAAAAACTAGTAATAGTATTTACTAGTATGGCAAATAATACTGCTTCCACAATGGATATTTTACACAAAGAAGTTCTACCTTTAACCACAGACAAATCCCAACATTACTTCAATCATTCTTTCAGGTATCCTGCTATAATTACACAACAACATTCTCCTTCCGCAGGCCATCAAGTGGCTTTCAAGTTCAATCTGAATTATTTTACAACCCATGAATTATGAGGGACTATTTTCACAACCATTGCTATGCATTTATTCCTGGGACAAAACATGAGTAGCCCAGAAGCAGTTTCATCTGTCCTTGAGTACCAAGTTGCTTACACTACCAATGGGCGAACATCCAACATGAATAGGGCTTTCTCAGCATTCATATCAAACTTGCGAGATGCCTTCAGGGGCTATTTGAGTACTCAGTATGAACCACTTGAGCTGCCTTCCCCTACTCTTGTAATGCAACCTCTCTTACGGGGAAGGGGCATAATAGGTCATCTCCATGAACCCAAGAGATGGCATATGATGCCTCTCCCCAGCACCAAATGATACATGCTGCTCGCTCCTGCCGGGGCTCAAAGAGAAGGTGACCCTCTGCAGGATCTTCAGCCTGGAGAAGGATGGAGGTGAGCAAGGAGGGCGTGACAGAAGTGGGGACAGGTTGTGAGTGCTGGTTTCTGTCAGGCTCTGTTCAAAGGGGGCTGTACACAACTCAGACTGTGACAGCTGTACTCCTGTGGAGGAAGGGCATTCCCATTTTGATCCACCATGAAATGCGCTTTATGTCTCTGGCTCGGATGAAGGAGCCAGGCCAGAGACATTACTTTTATATGACCAGATGGGGAAACCATGCCTGCCCTTTCTCAGTGTCTTTGTTTCTCTGCAAAAGAGACAGTCATTTTTCTGCCACTTTTGTTGGGATGGTAAGAATTTGGGAGAAATTCCTCAGGGCACAGGGCTTCAATGCTTCTCTTACTGTAAGGAGGTGGCTGGAAGGGGTGCACCTTCTTTTAGCATTCCCCGTTTTCCTCGGCTCTTTCCTTGCAGCTCCTCTGGTTGCCTGAGCTTTCTGAGAAAGCCACTAACTGAGAACCCAGCCCAGCTGTCCACCTTTGGGTCCCTCAGCACTGCTGCCTGAGGAGGGCCTGGAAGCTGCCTGGGTTCTAGTTGGTCTGCCTGTCAGTCTGTCTCCTTCTTCCTTTCTTGTTATTAAAAGATTTTTTCTGGGTTTTTTATACATAAAAGGAGAAAAACAAGTAAAAGGAGCATGAAAAAGAAAGAAAAAGATGCCAAGGAATGTTACACAAAAATTACATATAGCGCTAAGTGCAGGAAATTACACAGAAAGTCAATAATTATTATTTCTATCCATTTTATAACTACAATTTTGACTTGGTTATTACAAAAAATAAAGATGGGTATCAAGTAAGTAATACCTCATCTTGCAACATATCCACAAACCCACAAGCAACTAATATTTTTCTTTTTCCCAGATAAAACAATATCATAATAAAAAGTTAAATTCATAAAATATTTATATTAATGTGATCATTGTAAACATAATACTAAATAGTAACACTTCTGATTGCTAAATAAATATTAAATGTAAAATATATTTAATATATAATAGGCTTTCCATTTAACATCACATTCTTTAACCAGTCTTCTATATATAACTGACCAGTAAATGTATCAACTAGGTCATCCTTACATAACAATTCAGACAAAAAAATAGAATTTAAGTAAAATATGCATAGTAAGCTTTCTATTTATCATTAAATTCTTTGACCAGTCTTCTGTTCCTATAGCTGGTTAATCTTGCCATTACTGCATATTCCACTAATTTATTTTTCCAATCTTCACTAGTTGGGCAGTCTTCTGCTTTCCATTTTGTTGCAATTATAACTCTAGCTGCTGTTATCATATATGTAAATAATTCTTCCATATTTTTGGAGAAGTTTCTGCTGCTATTAAAAGATCTTTTAATGGCAGCAAAACAAAACCAAGGATGCCTCCTCATGCCTTTAGCAAGCAGCAGCACTGAAAAGGCTCCTCAGAGGAAGTTCTGGTTCAGTCCTCCAGGGAGACTTTCAGAAAGCTCAAAAAGTCAGATTGCTGCTTAAGATGGGAAAGGATAAACATGGTAAGATAAAGAGCACCCACTCCCTTACAATTTTATTTATTTTATTTATTCATTTTCAAATTTATAGGCTGCTGAATAACCCAACAGGGCACTCTAAGTGGCAAACAACAATAAAATACAGACTTTTTAATATTACAATGCTCCTACTACAATAAGAGAAGCTCCAAAGCTTCTAAACTCTCACGCTTTCCCACATTTTTGGAGTGCAATTGCTTTCTGCCTCACCTCCAATGAATGGTCAGAAATAGATAGCAGTGTGCTATTTTTTAAATTTCAAATGTCTGTGTTAGCTAATCCCTGCTGAGCCGGTAGCTGCAATACTGCTCTCTAGGCACTTGCCAAAGTGGTGCTGAAGTGTAGCGGAAGTCAGCAATGTCTTCAGTCAGCTGGCACAGTGATGGCTCCTTTGGGCTCCTGCAGTTCCCAGAGCATCACAGCCTGTGCCTATTGCTGCATGCAAGTGTCTGACTGCCTAATGCCCCGAACAAACAGGGATACACAGCAGAGATATTATTACACACTCAGAGAGACAAGGGAACCCGGGTTCCTCAGAGGCCAGATTTCTGTTTATTATTTTACTGATTATAACAGCGAAAGCACTCTGTGCAGTTCACTACAATTAACACAATTAAATACACTATAAAAGTTTACAAGTTTAAAACTACTGTATGATATTAAAAGTTTAGCAGTAGTACAAAGATCTAAAACATAGTTTTAAGCAACAGAAATGGAAAGTCTAAAATGCCTGGGGAAAATTAGTTCTTCACCCGAAGAACTAATGCAAGCCTTTCTGGGAAGCTCATTGCAAAATTGGGGTGCAAAAGAAAAGGTCCTCTTCTAGTAGCCCTCCAGCACAATTCTTTGGCAAGAGTTTGCTGAGAAGGGACACTGGATGATCTTAGGACCTGGATAGGTATATATGGGGGGAGATGATCTTTCAGATAACCTGGCCCCAAACGTCAGGGCTTTAAATGTTTGTGCTGCCATTGTGAACTGGGCCTTAGGGATGGAAAAGTAGCCAGTGCAGATGAAAATGTACTGCCATAATGTAACCATAGTGTCCAGTTCCCACTAGTGTCCAGTTCGCTGCCCTATTTTAAACCAGCTGAAGGTTCCAGACCATTTTCAAAGGCAGACCCATGAATGCTGCATTGACTGCTGTAATTCTGATGAGCAGTGCAAGGGCAACTGTAGCTAGGCTCTCCCTGTTCAGATAGAGTTGGTGTATCAGCATAAACTAATAAAAGGTGTTCCATGCCATGTAGTACATGTCATGCCATTGCTGCATCCAACAGGACCCTCCAGATTATGAACCTGAACCTGGGGCACTGAGCCCCCCTGTACTGCCCAAACCGCTGCCTCTGGCCCTGCTTCAGTCCTTACTGCATAGAGCCACTATGCCATGATCTCGCCAGATAGTGACAAAGAACATGATTGTGCATGTAAGTTGCTAAACTGGCTTTGGACCCAGAAAAAATAGGTAGTTTAAGACCCAAGTGAGACATCAGCTTGGTCGTTTGCAGTAGAGAAGTTACTCTGGCTTTGCTTCTGTCCTGTAGTGTGGGAATTAAAGTGACTTGATTAGCGAGATAAAATTAAAGAGGAATGTTGCCACAGAGGCACAGTATTGTCTCATTGCTGCCCTTCCCACCCGTTTCCTGTGAATAATGCTAGATAATGGTCATTTGCATACGGTCAGTAACTGTTTCACCTTTTTCTTGTCTGTGTTTTTTCTTCCCTCCCCCATCTGTCTCTTTTTCCAACTTCCCCATCCCAGGTGAGAGCCAGTGCCATTGCGCAAGATGCAGATCAGAACTATGACTATGCTAGCAACAGTGTCATCCTACACCTGGATGCTGGTGACGAGGTTTTCATCAAGCTGGATGGGGGCAAAGCCCACGGGGGCAATAACAACAAATACAGCACCTTTTCAGGCTTCATAATCTACTCAGATTGAGGGCTGTGCAGCCATCCTGATTCCCAGCCCCGGACTTCTTTATGTGGCAAATTCAGCTGTGGATTCCACGTCAGTGACATCTTCATACACAGCTGGTGTCCCAGCCAGTTTGTGGGAATACGGTGGTTGGGTCCCTGTCTCCTTCCCCCTCAGGGTCACTGCAGAGGAACAATAGATCATTGAAGACAATCATTATTCCTGTCTCTTTTCCTTCCTTCCATTCATTTTCAAGAGCATCACAGGACACTAGGCCTTTCAAAGGATTAATTTTGGGGAAGGTAGCTAAAGGAAGCCAAGGGACTTGGGATGAGGCTTGAGGGGTGCGAAGCTACCTTTGGGTGGGGGGCTATATGACCTCTGGGGGCCATATACTACCCTGTGGGCATGGCCACTCCACTAACACAAGTGGACCTGGCTGTGCCCACCTGCCATGATTTGCTCTTTGCCCCAAGGACCAAGTGGGTTTTTCCACCCAGTGCTTGGATCAGGGACCAGATTTTGCTGTGCAAAGGTGCAGTTAACTCAAGCCAGACTAGCCTGCATTGCTCCCCTGATGGGGAGTGATGGAGACAAACTCAACTCTATCTCAAACTGGGGAAAGCAGCAAGGGAATGTCCTCCAGGTGGGATTCCCCCAGAAGGCAGGGTTTGGGGCCTAAACCCAGTTTCCTGGAGGACCTCAAGAACCTTTACAAACCAGACTGACAGACCCTGCAGACCAGGTTAGCCCTGCAGACCAAAGGTTCTGAACTGCACCCCTGCCATAGTGTTTGTTGGGACTCAAGCTGAAACGGGAGGCAATGTTTTTAAGATCCTCAAATCTACATGCCAAAATTCAAATTGGGATTTGAGTCTGTATTTGGAGTAGAGTCTATATATGCGTGTGTATATGGATTCTTAAAACACACAGTATTTTTATCTATGGAAATATTAGAAGAGTAATATATACATTTTTTTATTTTTAAGAGTGTAAATGATGACATCCCTGAAATTTCAAATTGGTGTAAAATTGTGATTTTGGGTCTTTCTTCATCCATGAGTTGTTTCAGGATGTTAATCTATGTATAACAGAATCAAAGAACAGCCATAATTGATTTCATAAAACCAGGATGAAACCAGAGCATCAACAAATGCTTTCCCTCACTTTCTGCTTGTTGCAAACTCAAATTTTGCCTTTGATCACAAACCGCAGCCCACTCACTCCCCCACCCCATTTCCTTCCAAAGGAGAGAATGGCCTTATATGTGCAGCCTCCCCTGCCATCTTCCACAAGGGATGCTGGATCCTTCATTCCCAGCACTCCCCACTGAGGAAGTCCAAGCTCATTGCTAGCCAAGACTGGGCTAGTCAGAGGGTTACTGTAGTCTCAGTATCTATCCCTTGCTTGGAACCTTTTGTGAGTGTGTGTGTGTGTGCGCGCACGTGTGCACATGCACACAATCTGGTAAATCACAATTCCTTCACTACTAAGAAGCATGTGGGTAGATTCCAACACTCACTCTGGTCATTCTATTCTCTATATATGTACAGTATAAATGTATGCTCCCTAGATAGGTCCGACTACAAGAATGCCATATCTACATATGTCATTGTAAGAAGCAGTGCCAGAAAGAGGAGTCCATCCTGGCCCTCCATCTCCCAGTTTCGCCCCTTTTCTCAATCCTTTCTGTTTTCTTCTCTGACATCGAAGCAATGAGCTTCTTTTACTGGTTTTGGTTCTCACAATAACATAACAAGGGCTCTGCTGGATCTTATCAAAAACTAATCTCATCCTACATTCTGCTTACGGAGTGGTAAAGAGATACGTGTGGGAAGCCAACAGACAGAACATAGGTGCAACAGTACCCATACACTTTTCCCGGTAGCTGTAACATAGAAACATACTCCCTCTGGTACTGATGGTAATATATAGCCGACATGACTAGTAAGTAGCCTTTTTCTCACTTAACAGGATGATAGAGGATGAAATATGTTAGTTCATGCGGCAAAACCTGACATTTAGACTAGGGTAGGGCTAGGCTGATTCGCAGGCACAGTCCACGCACACCACAAACAACATAGCATGTGCATTTAATTGTACATGCCCTGTAATTTGCACCGGGCTTTGCACATCGCCATAAGCTTGTGGCCTGGAAATGTCGTGTCACAAAGGTTTCTTGTTGGGTGCCACAGTGCATGGGCATTGTGGGTGTGGGAGCTTGAGAACCATGTCCGTGCATCCAGAAAACTAGCAGCTATGTTTTGGTACAGTCAGCCATTGAACAGGGCTTATGAGTAACTAGTGCTCATGCGAAATGGGGCTCAGCACCAGCATGCTTCCCATGCCAGGATTGAACCATAATACATATGAAGAATAAATGGACATTCCCCTGAGCATACCAAGTTTTCTTTCACAACAGAGTACAGTATGTGTAATATCTCTTGTTTATGTATGCTTTTACATAAATCTCAGGATATCTTCATAAGCACAAACACTTATTAAGATGGTCAATATATGAAAGGCCTCAACACCCCTCTCAGGTCAGGACTGCCAAGCACTGAGGGAGCCTTTGATAATTTTCCCTTCACAGTGACTACGTGAGGATTTCCTACCATTAAAGGAACAATAGATTATAGTGTGTAAGGAGAGGCTTCCCCCATGAGGAAATAGGGGATAGGTTTATTGATCAGAGACTGTTATTTCCAAGAATAGTTTTTCTTGAAGTTTAAGCACTGCAAGCAAGCTCCTGCCTATGCTCCATGCCTCAGTTTCTTACCAAAAAGCTTGTTCCACATGAGCAGTCTAGCCCAATTCTGCATGTGTAACCCACCAAGCCAACCGCACCCATTGCTTATTGTGACTCAGAGGGAAAGCAAAGGTGAATGGACTGAGAAACAAAAATAAATAGAAATCACATTAACAATGCAATTCTCTGCAAATTTACTCAAAAGCACCACTGAGTTCAATGGGTCTTACTCCCAGGTAAGTGTGAACACAATAACAATTACTGCTGCAGTGTCTGTGCATTAGTGTATTTGCATAAATCTCCTTGACTGTTTAAAGGGAAAAAGAGAAGTAAAATGCTGGCTGCGTAGGATGGAGCAATTGGAGCCCCACCATAGGGGGCAGGTTTGATTACTGCTGGTACAAGAGCTCTTTTTGTTTTATCACATTCAGCCTCCCTCCAAGGTTAGATTTCTTTTTTAATTGTCAAGGGTATTTGCACTAATGTGCACAACTGTAGTAACTGCTCCAAAGAGGAGCAGCAAACGTGGGGAAAAGCCAATAGCTGCCAATCTGAACTTGCTGAAGATTCAGCAAAGTGCTATAAGCAGGGAATAAAGTGACAAGTGTCAGTTCAAAATACTGAGAAGATGACATCGCCAAGTGACCCTACCCCTTCGGTGCTCTCTTCAGAACACTTTGTTCACATTTTTTCTTATTTGTCATTACACGAGTTACACAAATGGATTTTCCTTTAGCATTATTCTCCCTGTTCCCACTTGGTCCTTCACATCGGTGTGCAAATAAGGGACTGTGCATCCTCATCTTGTCAATGTCTTTGTACACTTGCTCCACCTCCCTTTCATAGCTGAAACATACATGGAAATGAGGTAAGACTACACATATGAAACAGCCAAATGTGCACTCTTGCACATCTGCAAAAGACCAGGAAATAAACAGCAACGACTCCATTTGTGTACTCCCAAAGGACAGATTTATTGATTGATTGGTTTTCAAAGGCGAGAAGAATTCCAAGTGCCAGTTCAGCATTGGTGGGAGGGTGGGTGGGGCTGATGCGCCGGCACTGATGAGATTGCAGAGCTGCATGCTTTTGTGCCTGTTTTTGCCCACTTTCGCCAAGCGGCTTTGTAGCCACTTGGGACAAGCTACAGTGCTGGATTCTGAGGTCACAAGCCTCCCTGGGAAAAACCTATCCTCAACAAACCAAGCCTTGAGTTCTCAGAGTGGCTTGTTGTGAGAGTGGAGGAACCATCACTAACAAGGCTGATAGCTCACTGTGGCTTCTCACATTGTGTGAACCCAGCCTATGCTTCATTTGAAAATCAAAAAGGTTTTGTGTGGTCCATTGACATCGATGGATGCCTTCTTCATGCATTGGAATGTGGGAGTCATTCATTCATTGTAATAACTGTAAATCTTTATAAAACGAACTCTTAACAGAGAAACCTGCAGTGGCTCAAAATAGAGGATGTTTGTTTGACTATCTAACATTTTTTATCTTTGATTATGGGCTTTCAAAGGGCCTGGATGCATTCTTGTAAGTTAACAGGCGTTCCACGGAATTGAATGGATTATTCTCATTAACAGCAGAGAAGTGTGCTAAAGGTGAAAATACCTTGTAGCCCTGTGGCTATTATTTATCACCAATATATTGTTTATATGATTGTAAATACAGTGTGTTTTCCATTGCTGGCTAACTTTTAGTGGCAGGAAATCTGTCATTCCCGAAGGTTCCTGTGGGCAAGAACAAGAGAACAAGGGAGCAATAAAAGAGCAAGACTGCCTGCTCCAGCGGGACTCTCCTCTCCAACTATGTAGAGCAAACGACATCCATGCCTCTGAACTATAATATATACAGCCTTGTAATATTTGGATTTTTCTTGATAACTACCTTAGAATAATTTATATCCAGAAACAAGTTATGGTAAATAATTTAAATAAACCAGTGTTGGCCCGCCAAGGGCCTCATGAGCCTCCTACTTTCACTGTCTGCCTGAGATGACAAATATGGGGGTTATCGAGCTCTTGGCAGGCTGCAAGACTCGGCTGGCAAATTGCTTGTGAGTCGCAAAGTGTGCAGGCCTGAGGTTCACAGCCCTTTTCCAGCCTTCCCCTTCCTATGAGAACCCCTTTTTGACTGGGTTGTACAGCTGTTGCCACACAAGAGAAGGGGATCCTCTTTCAGCCTGAGGGCTAGATTCAATTTGAGTAAAACTCTCAGAAGCCAGGTTCTAATGGTGGGCTGGGATCAAGCAAAGCAGGCAGAGGGAATGAGG